GAAAGATGGGTCTATGCGAATGTGTATAGACTATCGTAATTTGAATAAATTGACAATTAAAAAAGGTATCCTTTACCAAGGATTGATGATTTGTTCGACCAATTGGTAGGAGCAAGTTATTTCTCCAAGATTGATTTAAGATCTGGGTATCATCAGCTCAAGGTCAGGGAAGAAGACGTGGCCACAACAACATTCAGAACAAGGTACGGGCATCACGAATTCTTAGTTATGCCATTCGGTCTAACTAATGCGCCCGCAGCCTTTATGGATTTAATGAATAGGGTATGTAAGGAATATCGTGATAAATTCATTATTGTATTTATTGGTGATATTCTTATATACTCTAAAACCGAAGAAGAACATGCGGAACATCTACGTTTGATACTGGAATTATTAAAGAAAGAAAAGTTGTATGACAAGCTGTCCAAGTGTGAGTTATGGTTAAGAAAAGTTCAATTCTTAGGTCACGTTATTTCAGAAGTCGGAGTACAAGTAGATCCAATAAAAATAGAAGCAGTTGCAAGATGGGAAGCTCCAAAAAATCCTTCTGAAATCCGAAGCTTTTTGGGTTTGGCAGGTTACTATCGTAAGTTTATTCAGGACTTCTCTAATATATTCGTGCCATTAATTAAATTGACTCGGAAGAATGTTAAATTCCAGTGGGAAAAAGAACAAATAGAAGCTTTCCAACTATTAAAGGATTACCTCTATAGTGCGTCAGTGTTAACTCTACCAGAAGGATCCGAAGACTTTGTGGTATACAGCGACGCTTCAAAGTTAGGATTAGGATGTGTTCTGATGCAAAGAGGAAAGGTGATTTCTTATGCGTCAAGACAATTGAAAGATCATGAGAAACAGTATCCGACTCATGATATGAAGTTAGCTGTGGTAGTATTCGCTCTAAAAATCTGGAGGCATTATCTTCTGGGAACAAAGTGCCAGATTTATACAGATCACAAGAGTCTACAGCATTTGTTCAGCCAGAAAGATTTGAATATGCGACAGCATCGGTGGATTAAACTTGTTAATGATTATGACTGTGAAATCCTTTACCACCCAGGAAAAGCCAACGTGGTAGCTGACACTTTAAGTAGAAAAGAAAGAAGCGTGACTATTAAAATGGTGACAATGAGAATAAGTTTAGTCCTTGATATTCATGAAGAAATTCTGAGATGTCAAAAGGAAGCAATGAAAGAAGATTTATCAAATCAGAAAGGTTGGGTAAGATAATTTCAACCTTGGAACCAAATGACAAAAAAATTATGTGTTTTCAAGGGCGAATTTGGGTGCCATATTTTGGAGATATCTGAAGTATGATATTAAGTTAAAGTCATAAAGCCTGATACTCTATCCATCCAGGCACCAATAAGATGTATAGAGATTTGAAATCTTTTTATTGGTGGCCAGGATTAAAAAGAGACATAGCTCGATATCTGGAGCAGTGTCTGACATGTTTACAGGTTAAGATTGAACATCAGAAGCCGTATTTAAGTCGTCAATCGTTAGAGCTACCTATATGGAAATGGGATCACATTACCATGGATTTTATTATGAAGTTACCTCGAACTCCAAAGGGGTATGACGTGATTTAGGTAATTGTTGATCGTTTATCTAAATCTGCATATTTTCTACCAATAAGAGAGAAATACTCTTTAGAAAAGTTAGCGCAGATTTACATCAAAGAAATTGTTACCAGACACGGTGTTCCATTGTCTATTAT